AAGAATATAGTCTTTTTTGATAGTGAGATATATATGTTTTTCTATAGAGGCTTTTTATGTTCTAATCAGTATATATTCTTATCAATATTACTATTTAAAGGATTTTCCTCTTAAAATAAGAAACTCTTCTTGGCGCCTATTTTAGTATAAAATATACTTAAAGTAAGTGGGATATCCTCAAAACAAGAATACAATTTTTTCGGTGTAACGGTGAGTCAATGTGCGTATCAGTTTTACATATACTAGAAAAAAATAAATACAAATCTTAAGAAAAAATTTTAAGAAAAACGTATTGTTCTTTTTTTTTTATTATATTTACACAAAATACGCGTAGTCATAAAATTGAACGCTTCACGCACGTGATAATCGACAATTGCCAAGTGATTGTTGCAATCCGCTTAAAAGTTGATGGATTAATCATTCATGTGTCATTTATAATGAAACGTCTTCATTAATATTTTTATATTATCGAGTTAACTCTCTCGCTACACTTGTCTCACAAATCGGATGTTTATCGAGCGACGATCGTTTCGCTCCGAGGCTTTTTCGGACACGCGCGTGGGATATTTTGCGTCGAGTCGCAACGTAAAACGTGCGTTTGTTTTCCGCCCGAAGAATTTTCGCTCGCGGATGAATTTCGCGCGAGCTCTCTCCGCGAATGCGTAGAAGCCGTTGAGCGCGAGAGATCTCATGATCTCCGCCCTCTTGGTCACATTCTCGCGCGCGGCTATGCAAGTTTGTGTTGTCTAGATCCTGCGACCGGGCAGGAGTGTCGCAATTCGCGGCGCTAATTACCGGCAGTAGACGCGTTACTATTCTTTCCTGGTAAAGCGGCAACTCTCAGGGACTTATGAAATGAGTTCTCACACACAACGCCTCGTCTATCTACCGTCTCTCCGACTTTTTCTTTATTTCGATGCGTATATATCACACAGGTTTCTTACGTAACACACCGTATTTACGGGCGCACGCAGAGAATACACTTAGATGTGGTCTTAGTCTTAGGTCTCGAGCTCTCGCACAGGCGTTGTCTCTTCTTCTTGATGTTTCGAGTAACATCTTGTGTGAGAGATTGCAAATACAATATTCAGCTAATAGGTACAGATTCATCAGTGATCGGAGTCTTTAATTATTATCAGAAACTTGTTTATTTGCGAAAGTTAGCGACTATAATGATTTTGGAATTTTTTTACGCTCCATAATAACTTTAAGCAAAAAATTATTTGATTGTTTAATGATTTATTCTGATTTTTTAATTGATTGATACACACTGATGTATCTACTTTGATAAATGCGATAACGATCGATAAATAGTGTGCGTTATTTAGCAGACGTCGAGAAGCTATCGTACACGGAAAATCGAGCTGTGCGCAGCGACGATTTCCCTTTTGTGAAATTCGATTCGATTCATTAACGACACGAATGCGTGTTTGTTGCGTGCGCGCCTTATCGCGGGTCCTTACTCGCAAACGGACATATCCGTTCGTTCTCCGTAAAAAAAAAAAAAAAAAAAAAGCCGCTACCGTTGACGTAAGCTGCTTCGTCACGTATAAATACGTTACCGTGAGAACTTGACGGCGTTCCAAGGTAATATAGTAAATTATAAGAGATATATATTTTCAAGAGTTAACTACAAAGAGTCATACTAGCTTTGAATATGAAAAACGTGAATCTTGATTAGCAACAATTGCGAAAACGTGTCTTCTATGAGACAACGAGAACAAAGTTGCTACGAAAGCAAATTCGCGCGCGCGTCGAGCTATCTCCCACGTTATAAAAAAAAGTCGTTACAAACTAAGTTGAAAAATTCTACAAATAATTTAATTTGTAATTTACTTGCAACACGAGCAATCTTCTCTGTGAAAAAATTCCTATCTACTTCTAATCGCTCGGCGTCGTTACATTTTTTTCCTCATCTCCTTTTCCTCCTCCTCGTCGTCGGTGATGATCTGCACGCTTCTGACCGGACCCGTCTTTCTGTAAATCGACGTTGGCGTTGTGCTGGTCATCACGGTTGTCGGCACAATTGTTGTCGTTCGTTCGGAATTGATCGCCAAGTTCACCATTCTCAGCAGCAACGCTTCTCTGATCGGCGCTGGTAAAATCTCGTCGCCATCTTCGACGTCTTGAGTGTAGAATTTTTGTCTGTACACTCTTTTCGAATACCTGCCGTCGTGATAATCATCGTATTGAGGATAAATTGGATTCAACGCTCGAGGATACACAGGTCGTCTGAGAGGCACTCGATCGCCGTACTGCGCCTGCTGATCGTACGCCAACTCCGAGCGCGGTAGTGGGGTTTGATAACCCATCGGATACGAGGGATAAGGTTGTTGATCGTACAAAGCGTCCTCGAGATAACTCTTTGGATAGGCCAACGCTTGCACGCCGTATTGACTTACCAGCAACCTTCTCAGCAACGTTTGGAAGTCTCGTCGGCTCAGAGGAGGCGCGATCGGATTCGGAGGTTCCGGAGGTAACGCCAGACCGCCACCTCCGGTTCGGTAAGAAGGATATTCGGGTGTGGTTGGCTGATAATCTCTTTCGTCCGAATGAGTAACTGGATTTGGAACTGGTCGCAAAATCGGTCGTGGTCTTTGATCGGTTTCCGGATAGATCAGAGGTCGCACCATGGGACGCGGACGCGCATAAGTTGGATTCATGGCAATTCGCGTCTCATCGTCCGGCACAGGATTTTCCGTCAGGTAATGAATATTGGAGTCCGTTGTGGTTGAGTAAATTGGCTGTTGATCCGGGGGAGGTGGTCGAAACAAGATTCTGCCGATTGGTATCGCTCTGTAGATGCCGTTCTCTTCGAGATTGTCTTGTTGAGACGGAACGAGTAATCTGGGCGGCAATTCTCGCAAATACTGTTCGGGTTGCTGTCTCACGAAGACAGGCTCGGTGCTCTGTCTCATGTAATCCCGATTGTCCACCGGTGCTCTCGCGGTTGAACTGCGAAGTAGGATCTGTTGGGTCGGAGTACGTTCCTCTTGAGTTGGTTTCGTCTCCGTCTCGTACTTCGCATTGTCGAATCGACCTGCCGCTCCCAGATTGTCTCGATTCAAGTAGATTCTCGGTCTTTCCGTGCGCGAAGCGCCGGAAACACGCTGAATTATTCGCGGTGGAGAGGTTGTGGTAAAAAGAGGACGCGTTGTAGATAAGGAACCACCCGCACCGTAAACGTCGGAATGATCGTCACCGTTGTCGGCGCCGGAGTTCGACTTGGTAGTTTCATCGTGCAGTTGCCGTCTCAGCGTGTTGCCCGTTGTAATCTTTGCCTCGTCTTCCTTCTCCAAGAAATCTTCAGATATTGGCGGAAGACTATGTTCAATCGGTCGTTTTGCGAGAACGATTCTTCGATAGGTGCCGCTTTTGTCCTCCATGCTAGGTCGGTTGATCTGTGAATCTTCGTCTTCGGTATCCTCGTCCTCTTCCGTCACGATTGGTCTCTGTTGGCCGTTGATGACAAAGCGCGGTCTACTTTTTGCCGTGCCCTTTAGATAATGTCCAAATATTGTTCTAGGTGCTTCTGTACTTGTGGTGCTGGCGGCACTTGTCGTGGTGGTGGTGCTGGTTGTTGTCTTCCTCGTTCGAGGAATCGACTGTACGACCGATGATTTGGTCGGTGCCTCTGTTGTTGTGGCGTATACGATATTCGGCTTCTTTGTGGTTGACGTGCGGTTGAGACGCGGTATGCTCTGCACGACCGAGATATGTTCCTGCAATGGCGACACGGTGGTTGCTTTAAATCCCGTACCGTTTGACGATGAATACGAGACCCTCTTTATTTCACCGTCGGCGTCGACAAAGCCGAACGTACCCTTGATGTTGCCCAGAACGTCGCGACTCTCGACCTGACAAGTCAAGTTTGCCGTTCAATTTTTCGCGAACGTAACGTAAACATTATCATTTTTTTAATAAACAAATAAAAAGTTGTCTTTAATTCAAAAATAAAATAGACACTTGAATTAATAATATAAAAAATACGGCATCTCTCGCGCTAAATGCAATAAAAAAATAATCTAATTATTTATTATTATATTATTATCTAATTATTTATTATATTATTTGCGTCGATATTACGAAGACAGTCAAAAATTTTAAAAATCATACTCAACATCCGCTGTGAGAACACTTAAGAAAAACCAAGAAAGAGCAATCTATATTACGCTGCGCTTAAGTAGTCACGCATATAATTACCTTGAACGATCCGTCGCCGGCTTCGTAGCCGTACGTGTAAGACCCGTCTTCGTTCACCTTTCTGATCTGTTTCAAGATCGCCACTTGGTGATCGTGATGCGTTTCCGATGTTTGCTGATCCGTGACGTTTGTGCAGCCGGCAGTCACCAAGCATAAAAATGCCATCAGCCATGGCGTCATCTTAAAAGCAAAATATAATTTTTCTCTGTGAGAAAAGAAAACTGCGGCAACACACAAATTTAGACGCATAACAACGCATTCTAAGATATAAATTTATTATGAAAAATAAATACATAAAAAAAATTGCAATACAGCAAACTTGATCAACTTTATAAACTTTCGCGATATGTAATAAATGACGATTATATGAAAATTTAAATTTAAATTTTTTTTGTCGTTTTTTTAAGGTTGATTGTTTTTTTTTTTAATTTTTTTAATTTTTAATTTATTTTTTATTTCTAATTCCGCGTGTTTTTATGTTAAATAAGATATTTTTTACGCAGTATGAGCGTATGATCACATAACAATGCACTTGTCACTCTCTGTGTAGCGTCTCGCAGTAGTTAACAAATATCTATCTTGATGACAAACAGGCAGATAAGTGCGACACTTTTCCACAAATCACCAATATCGAATTTGCAAAACAATCCATCGTAACATTTAAATCGACCACTCGTGCTTTGTCGCAAAATTGATTGATTACTGACTCGGAAACGCGATTTCTCGCGCGCACCGCGAAAATCAGACGTGGTAAATCGCGCGCACTCGTGTATCCGCTCGCAGTATACTCGACGATATATATACCTTGCTGGAATTGGAAACCATGTTACCGCGGATGCGGTGAATGTTCTTAATACCGCGTGGGGTGTCGGGTGCCGTTATATATAGGGTGACACAATAGGCAACCACCGCCCCTTCTACGCCCGCATTGCCACCGCCACGCTCAACCTTGATGACCCCTAAACGTTCATTAAGAACGGTGGAAATACCGAAATGACAGGCTCTTTCGTGCGGCGGCCGACCGCCGTAAAACCGCGAGAATTTCGCGCGTGCTGCAACGCGCTTTATCGCATAAAATATACACAACAATAAAAGACTCCTCGTGATTATGTGTTTGCTCATCTCGATTACACGTTTCTCTTTCTTTCTCGTCGAGCGAAATTGCTCAAGACAAGGATTATCTTAACGAGACGAGAAAGAGAGTGAGAAAGAGAAAAATTAGGAAAACAGTTACGGGAGGAAGATCAACTATTAAACGAAGCAAACGTTGAAAAAAGTGACCGCTTTCTTTCTTCATTAGGCAAATTGACTGTTACGATTGGCGCTTGAAATATCCGTCTCACGCGCTCGAGTTTCGCAAAGTTTTTTTTATAATTTTCTAGGACAGTTAAAATTCTGTATTCAAATTCTCCTTTCTCTCATTAAAATATACGCCAGTATTCTGACGCACTGGCATAAACTTGTGATTTTACACAAAGTAAATTGTGCTTTTCATCACAAGTAAATTATAATTACGTTTTGATGATTGTTGCGCGGATTTTGTCCTGGAAAAAAATTGCTGGAAGTCTGAAAACTCGCACGCTTCGTAAGACCGTCGAAGAAAGTGCGGCCAATAATAATGTCTCGTCGGAAAAAGGAGCGGAAGTGTGTCTTTCACGGTGGTAACGAGTGCACCGTCCTGACAGAATGGGACACATGAAGAAGTTTGGATTTGCGGGGACAAGTGAAAGCCAAACGTGGGAGTTGACGACAAGAAACACACACAGTCTGTAAAATCTGTAACAATAGTTCCCACATAGTGTGCAACATCAGTATTGTGGTATTCGCTCAAACTCTAGACACTCCCACAGGACAATTATTACATCATGCAATTTCCTCCGCGTTTCGTATATTCACTTTTTTTTTGATGCCACCTTGATACGCCTCGTGTTTGTAGACGTATCGGCTGTCTATCTTTTGCCTCGCGTCTTGCGTTTCCTCTACAGAGATTGTTGTGATTGTATTTCCTTCGCGCAGAGCTGCGCGAGCATATAAACGAGATAGATCGTTTTGAAATCTATACAAAAAAATAAACAGGAATATCCGGGAAAAGTATACGAGATGAGAATCAAAAGATGCTCTCGCGTACTTTCTCTTAGCTTAATTACTTGACAAATCTACGGTCCATCTCTTCATATCGTTATAATATCTTAAAGAATAGAAAAGATTGACGCTGTAATATGACACTGTTTATTGGCAATACTTTAAAATAGCTGTTGTATAATCCCCCCCTAATTAAGTTTCTACAGATATTCTTCAAATGTTTGTTTTCAAAATGACTGGAAATTGGAAGAATTAGATCTTGTTATTTATTTATGGTCTTGAAGCTTAATTCACCAAAACATTGCAATTGACAACATTATGTAATACTAATTAGGTCTTCTGTCGAGTTTTCGCTACACCGAAAAAATTATATTCTCGTAAGTAGAAGATTTTATACTTAAAAAATCTTCTTAAAGATTTTAGATGATATTCTTCTGAAATTAAGAATATATTCTTAATTTAAGAATATAGTCTTTTTCGATAGTGAGATATATGTGTTTTTCTATAGAGGCTTTTTTTATATTCTAATCAATATATATTCTTATCAATATTACTATTTAGAGGATTTTCCTCTTAAAATAAGAAACTCTTCTTGGCGCCTATTTTAGTATAAAATATACTTAAAGTAAGTGGGATATCCTCAAAACAAGAATACAATTTTTTCGGTGTAAGAAATAATCAATTTCCGATGTGATAGAAACTAATTGATTTCTAATCTATTATTTTTTTTAATTTAAGGTGTAGAATATAAAAAAATATTTAAATTATATTAAGTTTTTAATTCTTTTTTTATGTATGTGTAAATTTATTCTAAAGTGTTCTATATTTTCCAAGTTATATTTTTCTGCTTTTAAGTTTTTTATATGATGAAATGTCTACATTTGCTTTTGATCAAGTTTTACGGAAGTAAGCGCTGAACGTACAAAACTAATTGTAACGCAATCACCGAGTGCACATTTTATTTCAATTATATTTTGACTGACACACCCACTTCGTGAACTAGTCTCACGTTATGTCTGAGTAAAAATTACAGATTCGTGCTCTGATTTTGGCGACTAGCAATGGCGAAAATTCGCGTCATTTCTTACATTACGAAAATATACCTATTATTTAGCCGCGTGAAATCTATTTGTTTTTATTTCACAGAATATATATATTATCTAATTTTCTATCACGCATTATTTCAAGAAAGAGAGAGAGAGAGAGAGAGAGAGAGAGAGAATAAAGAAATAATTATAATATTGCTCAGATAAAGCCATGAAGAAATATGAGAATTTTTTAAGAATTATGATCATATCGTCATTCTATTTTATCGTATGTATAGATCAAGTACTTTTATGTAATTTGCAGACCAATTACACTTCTATTCCAGTCGACGTAGTACTATGTCATCATAAAGTGTTTCTCATCCTAAATACATATTTTATCATCCTCAATGAACTGTTTCTCAGTAATGATTCACTGATGTGCTTTATGTACAACGCCTTGACTATGCTTCCTTCTATACAGATTTGTACGGCATAAAACCGTACATAAGGAGAACTACGTTATAATTCATAAATGTTTACTAACATATTTTATAGACAGTTTAAATCAATATATTAAATAAAATTATAAAATATTTGCATTAAAAAGATTATAAATATATAAATAAAGAAAGTTATATCAATATAAAAAATTTAAAAAAAGAATAACATAACTGCTATAGTGTATACATGTGCAATAGTTTTGAGATTATTTATAACAACAATATAATTTATCGCGCAAAAAATGTGCAACGTGTAATATTACAAACTTACATTGCAAGTTTAATTAACTAGTTTTATTGCAATGATAATATCGGTGTTGGATTGCGCGCTAAATGACGGGATATCAAATAACATAATTATGACAGATTCTTTGAAGATATGAGCTGTATTGCCACTTATATCATCAAAGTAAAAGATCGCGTATGTGCTCATCTTTCCGTGAACGCGCAAGACTATAAGGAACTAACTTTGCGCGTAACAAAAGCGAGGTTTTTTTTTACAGTAATTAGTATACTTAATAAACAGACATATGTTTGGCTGTATGGAGCAGACACGGATGTCGATGTGTGTGTGTTCAAAATTCACTTCTTTATATTGTAAAGTGATGGTCGAACCTCTAGTCTTACCACTGATTACTAATCACCACCTAACGACGACCGTCACTATTTCTTCTTCTTTTTTGCGAGTCTTTTGATTTACACTGAGAAAGACCTAAACCAAAGGTCGAAAGCTTTGTACTGTACAGTTTATCGCAATAAACTAAATTTCGAACACACACATCGACATCCGTGTCTGCTCCATACAGCCAAACATATATCTGTTTAATAAGAATTTTTGGATCCGTTTATATCAAATTTCATTATTTACTATACTTAAATTACTTTAAAAATTTGCGCCGCGAATGTCATTTTTGATTGATTTTTTTCTCGAGCTCATTAACATATTAACTGTGCAGCTCATCCACGTGACACAAGTGTCGCTAAATTACGTCAATCTACGTATTTATATCCGTCGTGAGAATAATAAAAGAAAAGAATGATCGTCATATCCTTCTGACATTTAGTGTGTGTAGGACAGAGGATGTTGCGCATGAACGTCATCCTGTGCTCGTATCTCGCTATTCCGCGTGATTAATTCGCGTTAACATCTATTAATGACGCTAGTGTTTCTAGCTGGATGTTTCAAAGAGTTTCTATTCATTATTACGATAAAGGTATGATCATACGATAGTGAATGCAGTAAAGCGAGAATTCTTTTTAGCTTGTTTCAATCAAAGTTCAGTAGAGTTTTTTTAGAATATTTAGGATAACAACTCGGGTGTATAGCCGCGCTTATCGTACATCTCGCAAAATTTAATTTATAAGATAATCTTGCAAATAAAAGCAGTCGTTTCTTTGTTAAACAATATGGCAATTTTATTTTGTCTCGCTCATCTTCTATCGGTAAAATAGAGAACACGATTAGAAAGCAGCAATAAAAACTTTCGCTGACAATTCGCGACTTGCGTTAACTGCTGAACGCGCGAATAAAGCGCGATCTATCTTATTACAGTCCACTGAGACTGAGTTCAAGGTTAGATGCTTCGAAAGTGCGAAGACCTCGTATGAATTAAACAGAAATAAGATCATTCTTAATACGTTGCAGTATAAATGTTTCTTTTTAATATCATACAAACTATACACCGAAAAAATTATATTCTCGTAAGTAAAAGATTTTATACTTAAAAAATCTTCTTAAAGATTTTAGATGATATTCTTCTGAAATTAAGAATATATTCTTTATTTAAGAATATATTCTTTATTTAAATTAAGAATATATTCTTAAATAAAGAATACATTCTTAAATTAAGAATACATCAAAAAAATTGTATTCTTGTTTTGAGGATATCCCACTTACTTTAAGTATATTTTATACTAAAATAAGCGCCAAGAAGAGTTTCCTATTTTAAGAGAAAAATCCTCTAAATAGTAATATTGATAAGAATATATACTGATTAGAATATAAAAAACTAACTCTATAGAAAAACATATATATCTCACTATCGAAAAAGACTATATTC